AACTTCCTCGCCTCAGAAATCATGCCTAATTTCACGTGAAGAATTTAATTGAGCGTAACGATAATTTTCTCTGAGAGTGTCAGAGCTTCGCTCTTGTATTTGTCCAAGGCAAAGAGGCCTCCATTGTGTGTACATTTGCTACGCGACAAGAAGAATTCCAACAATTGGACCAACAAGAAGTGTTTTGCCAAGGGAAACCACGATAAACATCATCACTCCATATCATCTCAGATGTAATTTACAGTCTCACTGCCAAGTGAGTTGATTAATTTGCATTTTTTCGGCGATACAGTCGGGCAGGAAGGCAAAAAAAACTGACTCTCGGGACCAGCAGAGAAAACAAATAAGCCGCGTAATGATAATTGAAATTAAATGTTTCGCACCTTCTGAACTCGCGGCCACTGGATAATTCGTGGGAATTTTAATTTTACACTGTTTTTTACCGGGCTTTTGGCCAGACAAAATTTCACGGTGCTTCCGTTTGTGTGACCATTGCGGGCGTGCGTGGCAGGTTAACCCTTTGCACACCATGCCAGAGTCTCTGCATGACATTGTATCGTTGAGATTTGTGCACAATGAAGGGTCAAGAGAAATTGAATTCAACACAGCACAGATAGATTCTTGGCTTAAATCGATTCACGCTGAGGTTCTTCATACTTTAGTCATCCTTTGTGACTGTTTTTCTCATCACATCTTTGTCTGGCCTTTTGCATTTGCCATTTGTATGGAAATGTGAGATACTTCGTGACGAATTACAATGATTTCATTGATCAATATTTCCTGGGAAGACACTGAGTGTGTCTATAGCGATGCACTCGCATGAATCTTTGACCGCGATTTCAGTGGTCAAATCGTTAAATGAATTTTTTATTTATTGCTCCAGCGATGACTTCTGAGAAAGTGACTCATTTAGATTGGAAGAAATTCAATTATTGGTCCATGCGCGATAAAATGTCCAGAACGGAGTGGAATTGGATGTTAAAGAGTGTGTGGTTCGGCTGTGTCGAAAATTGCGGCGATAAGAAGCCCATGAGAGGCCCATGAATTGGACTGAAAACGCGCTGTTTGCGCCTTATCAGTGGAGAGGAAGTTCCAGTGGAATTTCATTAACATCCGAATGGCAATAATTCACAAAACAAGTGCTCTCGGGAGTGAGTAAATCTTGCGGTTGTGTTTACAATTGCCATGCCATTTAGTCTGTGGCAAATGGCAAATAGATAAGAGAGACAACAAATGATCCCAAATAATTAGCAATGATAATTTGTCAGGCGCTCATCTTAGGGCGGGGCGGAGTTGAGTAAATATTGCTGCGGCTGACAAAATAAATATGACAGTATAAACATGTTGTGAACTGCCGATAAGATTGGCTCATCCCCGGGCCAGCTTGACACGCTTTTAACCCCTTCTTATCAGCGAATTTGCAGCCTCTCCAGCCCAGTCAGAGTCAGTGCACTTCGCGAGGAAGCAGATCACTTTTCCCACCACTCCACTTAATTACTTCTCCAGCACCGCGTTGCAGACCAACTGCAGCCGCGCTCAGAGGCAGCACAGCTGGGGAATGAGTTCCCAGAGGGCTGATAACTTCCCTCTCAAGCGCTGCTGCTGCTACTTCTCGGGAAACACCAAATCCGTGAATTGTTCAAAGTGCGCGAGAATGAAAGTCGCACTTAACTTTGCGATTATTCAATCATTTCTTTGATTATGCCAAAAAATTGTCGCTTTCTGCGCTGTGGTCCTATTTTTAGGTGTTCAAATGCAGTTTATGGTAAATTTTGTGACTGTTTGACGGTTATTTAAGCTGAATTCAAACTCCTGAAACCAATTTTGCCTTTAGGAAATACAATAGGAACTTCTACATGCCCTTTAAACGTGATCAGCTGATCAGTTTGTCAGATTTTTGATTATTTTGCAATTTTACTAAGAAAAAGATCTTTTTTTTTCGTCTTTCCTCTTGTGAAAGTCAAGCTGACATGGAATGTCAGCACTTGCTCGCCCCCTAAAACACTCCCAGCACCCCGTCAATGGACAAATGCGCTCTCAAAGTCAAATGCGGGAAGCGAAAAGAATTTAATTAACCATGCGGACTTCCATATCGGGCGAGCTACATCGAAATGCGTTTTCATATACACAAATTAACATGGTTCCCGCTCCCCGGCCGCGCGCATTACATATTTATAAAACGACAAGCACACAAGATGGTAACATCCAGATATGGATTATGGTGAGCTGGGCTTCTCTATTCATGCGACTGCATGTTTTGCAAGCGCGCGCGATTCGCGAGTAGCGGGAAAGCCTCCTCCGCGAGTCGCGGAAATTTCCCACTGAGGACACACTGGAGGGGAGTGAGAGATGCCACATGATTTATGTTGGCCCACGAGACGCGTGGGCTGATGATGGGTTTCATGAGAAAGTTCATGGGGAAGTGTGAGTAACCTACATATGCAGAATCTTCGCGACTCAGCCACAATTGACGCTCCTCACCTGGAAAGACAGGGAGAGAAGAAGTGGGCATTAGTGATGTGCAATGTGCAGATATGTAATGATGCATGGGTGACAAATGCTCGGGCAAGAAGTGATTTAGAATGGCCATTGTGGTGATTGTGCAAAATTCCACCCCGCGTGGCCAGCAATGTTAATTCATACGAGGCACGAAAGTGATTTTCGTGTTCATCGGCAGGGCCTTCGTTGTATTGATTTGCATATTTCACATGTATCATGTGCACAGCTCTCTTGGGCGCGCTGGCAAATCCATTTGGTGGGACACATATTCCGATGCTGGCTGGAATTGATTGTGTTTGTTTTTGCGAGGGACTCTTGGGGGCTGCTGTGGAGTGCGTAGGCCGAATGCAATTATATCCGAGGCTCTCTGGGTGTTGGCGGTCAATGGAATTAGTCCAGGGAGTGCCGCGGACCAGACCTAATTTCACCTCTATGAATATATTTTGGCATTCTGACATTCTTGTGGATCATTTCGCGATCATTGCACTGGTGAAAAAAACCAGTCTTTGCCTCTTCACTGAATTTTCGGGTACAAATATATCGCTCATGGGCTGAAGATGCTCAGTTTTGCCGGAGAATCTCAGCCAAAATGCTGCTCTTTAGCGTCTTGGGGGTCTTCTTGACCTCCGCCAGTGTTCAGTGTGGTTCATACAATTCAATTATCGACATGTACTACTGGAAGTCGGTTAAATTTGAAACTCTCCCCGTGAAAAGTAAGTCACTTTTAGCATTTACACAGTTTGTTGACTAATCACTGAACTCTTGTACATTCAGAGGACGCGTTCATCGGACCATTTCCCTACTTCATTCCCGAGAACAACGATGTTCTGGGTTCTGGATATCATGCCAACAGTGGAACGATGTTTGTCACGATAGGACGACTTCGAGAAGGAGTTCCGTCGACCATCAATGCCTTCTGTCCTGACGACTACGCGCCGGGAAGTAGTCCTTCGATTTGGGGCTTTCCCAACTTCCAAGTCAACACCCTTCAACCCGAGGATTACAGCTACAGAGATCGCAGGGATGTTTCAAAGGATTCTGACTCAAGCGAAGATGACACATTTAGACATAACAAGCCTTACGGATCCTTCGGATCCTTCAGTCCGCCTAATTACCGCATCATCTCGGTTTATCATCCAATCGTCGATGATGTGTGCGACAGATTGTTTCTTATAGACACAGGAACCATCAGAACCAACGACGATGTCAGATATTGGGTGCAAAAGCCCGCTTTATTGGTCTATGAATTGCCCCGCAATGGATGCTCGACGAGGAACTTTCCACTACTCAGGAGAATTGAATTGCCTGAGAGTGTGTGGAAAGATCCTCTGGGATTCGATTATGTGGCCCTTGATTACCAAAACAAGGGCGGTTGTGACGATTTGATGCTCTACTTTGATAACATCTTCGATAACTCAATCGTTGCCTATGATTATGTGAAGAATGACTTCTGGATGTTCTCAAATCACTCATCCTTCGTTCCTGTGCCCAGTGAATCCTACATTCTGGATAAATACCAACTGAATTACGGTGTGATGAACGTTGAAGTCGGCTGGCCGGATAAGAAAGGCAACAAGATTGCTTACTTCAGTCCCGGAGCCAGTACTGGTGAATACGCAACAACCACGAAGACTTTGAGGAACAAGAAGAAGGCTCCTTATTCTTACGGCGCAGAATTCAGGATTATAGGCTATCGCGGTTGTCAGGCGACCATTCATAGGCAATTCTTCGACAAGAAGTGCGGAGTTATGTTCTTCGCCAACATGGCTTCGGGCCAAGTGACTTGTTGGAATGTTGGGAAACCCATGAATCCCAACAATATTGGATTGATTTTCCAACCAGATCCTTTCGAAGTGTTTGGCGATGTTTACGTGGACAGCGAAGGATACCTTTGGATGCACTCTTGCCACATTTATCAACTTCTGGGCAGCACTGAACCTTTGGACCTTAAAACAGTCAATTCCCGAATAAGGAAAGTCAGAGTTTTGGACGCTATTCAAGGAACTGTTTGTGACACTTTCGGACAACTTCCCGATGAAATCGCTTGGGAGTATTTTGAGGAGTTGTAGAGTGAAATTTGATGAATAAAACAACAATCAACGTGTAAACAGATTAAGAACTGAATGCACAAATTCTAATAAATCAAGATTTTTTTTATCAGCTGATCACAAGTTATTGCCACAAGTCGAGCCATTCAATCGTCTCTAGCAAGAATCGATAAGATGACGAGGCACACCTGAAGACGCTCACCAATGCTAAGAGATTCTGACACACGACGCACGACTTTTCCTGTCTTTCCACAATATAATCCCTCATAAATACAGTCGTTGAAATTGAGTTAGTCACGTTGCTTTTCTCTTCATTTTGTATTAAAGACGCAACAAATTAAAATTTTCTTCTGTTTATGATTTGAAGTTCGCTTCTGTATATTCAGAGTGCATTATGATCACGAGCCATTAGGTCGACAACCTAAACTCATTAGTAGATTTTCTTCTATAAAAATGCAGTTCCGCAGACGAAGAAGCTCAGTTCTGGATGAAATCTCAAACGAAATGCTGCTCTTTTGTGTTTCGTGGGTCATCTTGACCCTTTGGAGTGTTCAATGTCAGTCAATTGTCGATGAGTATCAGTGGAAAGAAGTTCAATTTGCAAATCTCCCTTTATCAAGTGAGTTTCATCACAGTTTTGCTGCTATTTTCTTTAACTCTGCATGAAATACATGGACTTGTTTATGTTTTACTCTCCCAGCGGATGCCTATATCGGACCATTTCCTTACTTCCTACCGGAGAATAATGATGTCCTGGGTTCTGCATATCATGCCAAGAGCAGGACCATGTTTGTTGCCATATCACGGCTGAGAGAAGGAGTTCCATCGACTTTGAACGCTTTCTGTGCAGATGATTACGCGCCAGGCAGCAGTCCTGTGCTTTGGGCTTTTCCTGACTACAAAACCAATACACTTCATCCCGAGGACTTCAGTCAAGGAGCTCGCAGTGTTAAGGAACCGCCTGAAGAGCCAGTAGATGAGTTTAGACATAAGAGACCTCTTGGATCGTACAGTCAATCGAATTACCGCATCATATCGGTTTATCATCCAATCGTGGATAATGAGTGCGACAGATTGTTCATTCTAGACACAGGAATCATGAGAAACACAGACGACACGACGTACTTTGTCCAAAGACCTGCCTTATTGGTCTACGATCTCTCGCGGTATGTTTGTTCTTCGGGAAATGTTCAACTGATAAAGAGGGTCGAATTGCCGGAAAGTGTGTGGAAAAATTCGCTAGGCTTCGATTATCCAACAGCAGATTACCAATATAAGGGTACTTGTGATGATTTGTTTGTCTACATGAACAACATCTTTGACAATTCAATCGTCGTACTTGACTATGCAAAGAATGACTTCTGGATGTTCGCCAATCACTCCTCCTTCGTTCCTGTGCCCAGTGAATCGCAAGTTCTGGACAATTACCAACTCAACTATGGCACAATGAATGTGGAAGTCGGCTGGCCGGATAAGAAAGGCAATAAGATTGCCTATTATGCGCCCGGAGCGAGTACAGCGGAATACGCGACGACCACTAAAGTTCTGAAGAACCGTCGAATGACTCACACTTATGGCGCTGAGTTCAGGATTGTAGGTTATGAAGGCTGCAAGGGATCCATTCATAGGCAATTCTTCGACAAGAATTGCGGAGTTATGTTCTTTGCTCATATGGCTTCAGGTCAGGTGACGTGTTGGAACGTCGGGAAACCATTCAATCCCAACAATTTGGGAGTGATTCTGCAAACGGATCCTCAAGAGGTCTTTTCGGAAGTTTATGTGGACAGCGAAGGATACCTTTGGATGCACTCTTGTCACATTCACCAGCTTCTGGGCAGCACTGAACCTCTAGATCTGACTCAGGTTAACTCCCGAATAAGGAAATTCAGAGTTTTGGACGCTATTCAAGGAACTGTTTGTGACACTTTCGGACAACTTCCAGATGAAATTGCTTGGGAGTATTTTGACGAGTTGTAGAGTGATTTTAAGATGGAAATAAATCAATGCAAAAAAAACCCATTTACTTTGACATAAATCTCAGTCGATCAATTCCTTATTCCGGCAAATTGTGTGCTGAATATTCACTTAATGCTCCTTTTGGGCATCTTTCTCAGACTGTTTTTCCATGCGAAAGGCTGGGCAGAGGAGAAAAATAATCACACGCAATCCTGCGAATCACTATACTTTTGCCCCTTCGTCGGAGCTTTTTCGTGACTTTTTCATCCGTGTTGTGACGGAATTAAGCTCTCTTAATCTGCCGGGCCTTGATTTTCCTTCGTCACACGAGAGAAAAGGAAGTCTGATTGATTGGATGGCATTTTAGGTTGGGAAATCAATGAGGATTTTTGGCCACGCAAGGCGAAATGCGATGCACTGCGTGCTTCTGGTTTGCTTGCAAAGTGCAGCCTTAAGATCTGCCAGAGAGAGAGAGAGAGAGAGGTTTCATAGGCACGTCACTGTCACTGACTCATTGGCTCAAGTGGGGTTTACGTGTCGTTTGAACCTTCTCAGCTCGGGAGACCGCAGAGTTATTTGTACAAGACACACAGCAAAGGCCCCAAGGAAGAGAGTGTAGGTTTAATCTGAGGTTTCAAAGGCACACAGTGAATTTCAAGCGGAAAACTCAAGAAGAGCGTCACAATTGGCTTTAAAGAAAAGTACATCATTGATAAAATGATAAAATAATTGACAAATTGATTGGGAAATTTGCAATTACTTTCGTCAAATAAGCTGTGATCCCTCGAGCTGTTGATCTCCATTCTTTATGCATTATAATGCCCAAATGAAAGGTGAAATGTGGCATTGAGAGAGAATACAATATGAAGTGCTGGGAATTCCCATTTGGAGAGCACACGGGCGTCTAATGATCTCCAAGAGCCGCGCCACGAGCCCTTGTCTGCATATGAATGGCCAAATGAGGCTGAAGTGTAATATTTTACCGTGTGGATGTGGTCTTGTTCTCGTGCTTTATGATCCAATAAATGAATCAATGGGCCAAAGAGGATTACAGCTGAAATGGGAGATGATTGGATCAAGACGATGATGGTGCTCTTTCTAATGACTCTCCTCGTGTCATCCGAACCGTGGAATTCAGCTGTGGCGCACGTTCGCTTGGCGGGTAAAAAATGGCAAGACGCTGAGTTCAAGGTGTGATCCACAATAATAAATTTTATTGACACTCCACACCGACCATTTTGGCCCCCTCTAATCCCCCATCCAATTCAGCTGAGACGAGTTATTGTGTCGCTCAGAATAAACTGTCTCTCTCTCTGTCTCCATTAATATTTATTTATGCGCTCCAATGTAAATGATTCTGCATTAAGCATTTTCCATCGGCGCAAATAGGCGCATTTATGCGCTCCGGACATGTAGCATAAAGTGTCTCTCATAGTCCTCCATCCATTGATTGGGGCGCCCCAAACTTCACATGGTCGGGAGAATATTTTGAGTGCCAAAAATTTATTGACTATTAATTCGAGAGATTTTGCATAGTAAAACAGATGGAGCTCCCTTTTTATGCGGCAGCAGCAATGACAAAAAATCATATTATGAATTTATTTCAGCCAGAGCTTTTCCCAAAATATTGACTCTCTCGCGTAGGGGCTGCAAAAAAATCGCGCGCTCCACCCGCACAAAATTGCTTTTTATTAATGTGGGTCAATAAATTATCAATAAAAACTGATACTGTGCGTCAGAGCTTCAGGAGAATTTTTTTTTAGCATTCTTTAAATGATTTGCACTTGAAATTATATATATCCGATACGATTTCCTAACAAAGTCTCGTCATACAATGAGTCGTTGGCAAATAATCATCAATTGTGTGTCAATATTATCAAATATTTCCATTCAATGAGCGGCTTCAATTGAATTGTGAATGTGAAAAGCATCCGCGAAAAAAAATTCACGTGGTGATGAGAGGAAAAAATCACCTATCATATTATTAATATAATTCAATTGAATTTGACTCGACAATGCGCCTGAATTCCGAAGGACACACGGCGCGTCCTTTGCAGGTGACTTCGCGGAATGCACACGAGGCAACAGGCGTGAAAATTGGGCTCGTAAATACGTCGCTCATGGGGTGTCTTTAGCACTCCTCAAGAAGTGTCTCGTGGAGGTCATTATGCCTCATTGTTAGCCTACAAATCTCTCCATGGTCGCTCTTTTGCACCTCCAGGGCTCAAGAATGGAATAAACAAACATTTCCCCTCGATTTATGAGTGTGTTTTCTTCGCCACAGAGAGAGAGAAGATCGTTCCCGGACTCCAAGAGATGCCCATAAATCACCCTCATTTGCCCTAACAATTCTTGCCGGCAGGAGACCAACGACGGCACACTTTGGGAGCATTTCAAGGGAAGCGCCCAGGAAGTCCTGCGCCGCCACCCAGAATCGATGCATTCTTGGCGGCGCAAGAGAAAGGAAAATCGAATCAATGCGAGCGTCTGAGGAAGAAAGGATCAATGCAACACCGCTCGTTAACGTGGGATGTTCTCAGGAATTGCTGCTCAGACTTCAAACTCGTGAAATTTGTTTAGTGAACAATTCCTAATGAATCTTATGATAGATTCTTATGAAAGATTTGTCGAATAAAGTTTTATGATATCGAACACCTTCAAAGTCCAGATAAGAAATGATAATCAACAGGATAATTATCCTGAAGACACCCCAGATACATTTAAACCTCATTAAGAACCCAAAGGATACTTAAGTGAGAAGATTTGAAATGTTAACTGACTGATTGCTGCTTTGGCTTTGTTTTGATCCCAAAAAAGGATTAAGGATTAGGCCGAATGTCCTCAAACTTTGCATGATAATTACTCAATAATAAGGGAAGATTGGTGGAAAAATTCACACCTTTAGCTCAGAGTTTCGGGTGGCTCTATTTGATTTGCAGTCACTGTAGTTTTTGTGCTATTATAATTTCATCAACCTTTTATTCGTGAGGCGCTTTAAGCTCGGCTCTTGTGATTAAATTGAAATAAATTGGTGAGGCGTTAATCAGGTCAGTGCGTTGGAAAACACACAAAAGGATAATTGCAGGATGTCGATTCCCAATGAAATCCTATTTAACTGGTGGAAGCAGAGGTTGGGCAGGTGGTGAGAATTTAAACCGCTTAACACGCAATTTTCCATGAAAGAATTTAATGCTGTGGCTTTTATATGAGGAATTTCACTGCAATTTCCCATTGATTCATCTGTCATAGAGTTGAGGTTGTTCCTTTGATAATAATTGATGCAAAAATCTCTGCGAGAAAACTCCCCCGAATTATGATTTGAATATGCTCTGAGATGGACAGGAGGAGAAAAAAGGCGATGTCTGCATAATGCAGTGAGAAAGGCGGAAAAGAAAATTGTGGGGGGGGAAAGTTTTTGTGGCCGTGGGCGGAAAAACCCGTGTATGCTAATTAAACAAATTTACTCAGATTTCAATTAGCGCTAGAATTTAATTCAATTCACTTGCGAATGCCATAGAGATTCGGGCATGAATTCGCTCGGCAGAGAAGTTTCAACTCTTTTTGCATAACAATAAAAAGGATAATTGCAGTGGGGAAATTTGAATGGATGGCGGCAATCGATATGACGTCGTCAGCAGAGCTTCCACAGTATCGATGATAATGTGCTAATGACGAGTGAGCCTGACAATGGGAGATAATCTCAATTAAATTGAGACTCTAATGGATGCTCAGTCAACCGGACAAATCCTCACAATTGTGGTACATTCTAAGGACTCCATCAATGTGATTTCTAACGACAAGTGTCAAGGAGTTTGACAGTTGACACGATGCCGGAAAAGTTGCTGAAATTGTCGGTGAAATGAAGAGAAAATTTGTAGCCACAATAATTTTTATATTTGTGCGCGCGTAAAAGCGACGATGACAATGATGATTTCCTCCCTCTTTGTCTCAAAGCTGCCTTTCTTCAGACTCCTTTTTTTCTTTGCTGTGCTTCCGCCTGCGATGCTCCCTCGTAAAAGCTCAGCGAATGGGTGGCTTTGTACCATTTGAGACTTTTACGACGAGGAAAGTGGCAAAGGAATCCCACGACAATGTGGTTAGTCTTTTATCACGAAACTCCTCTGCTCGCGCCATGACTTTGGAAATTTTGGCGCTTTTGACTTTTTGCCTTTGACTGTTTGGAAGATAAATCGCTCAATCAAAATGCAAATTTGCCACGACGTCCACAATTTATCGTTGCAAAATATTGTGTCATTAAATTGTCACAGGGTTAATCATGATTATCGTATTGGACATTGTGCTTTATTTAATGATTTGTGTAGTTTCAAAACCGATTATCGGACGATATGAGCAGCTTAGAGAGCATAAAATTATCTCTCAATTGTGTCTAATTTAATTTAAATTGACACTCAAACTATTGACGAAAAAAGCATTCATTTAGGGGGTGAAAATTACCCTCACAGTATGAAATTCTTTAATATTTTATTTTATTTAACAGAAGTCACTTAACATTAGTTGTTTGTCGACTAAAATAAAAAAAATTACCTGATTTCGTGAATTTCCCACGCCAGGGGTTGAAAATCCCGAAGCCACCCCGCAAATTTCCATGACAAATCTGCCGAGTCACACGAATGGTGGTGAAAATGGCATAATGATATAAATTGCAAATTGAAATGGGATGAATATTTGAGATGCAGAGCATGCCCGCAGTGAATGGGTTAAGAGTTGCACAATTGAAATGCTGAGAGACCGGAAGCGGGCGAGGGCGGAAGGAGCCTCAGCAACAACAATCACCCATCATTTGGCTGAGGGCGGTGGCGCCCTTTGTCGTGAAGTCAGCCAGTTTGGGGAATGAATGGCGAAAGTTATGTGAATTTTGCTGATTCGTTAATTTCCATTGTGTCATCCATATCTCATGTGCATTTTCGACACATTCACCCGCTTTTCGCATGATATTCTGTGCTGAATGTCAACTGGATTTCGCCCTGAGGGGTGAAATTTTTTAAAGTGCGGTTTCATTTTTCTCCTGAAAATTTGCACCCTTCAAGGGT